GATCTTAGGCACCCAAATCCTATGGACAGTGAATGGGAGGTGAGCACCTCACACCCTTCACTCCTATTGTCAAATACAATTGGACATGGTGGAGCAGATAGGGCACTGGACCGGGACTCTGGATAGTTGGTTTCCTGCCATGAGCACACTGAGTGATTCCGGCCCTCTGGGATTCACAAATCCAGCTTGGCTGCTGGCAAACCCTGCAGGCACAAAGGCACCCGGATGCTGAGGCCCCAGAGCGACGCACAAACCTGAGGAAGGTGTGAATTCCCCTGCCTGACTCTCCTCCAGGGCCCCATCTGGCAGGTCAGGTGCCCAGAGGCTTTGAAAAAACACCACTTAGACCCCAAATATCTGGAAACAACTGGCCTTAAATTGTTGCTGAAAATAAGCAAATAAGGGGTCTGTACTGGTGTTCTGTGTTCCAGGGCCCAGGTCAGAGGGTTTCCTTTGGCTTTTCTCTTCCATTGACTGAAGCCTGGGGATGAAATACACTCTGAAAAAAAATTAATTATTTAATTTTCTAACGTTGAAGTTCCATGCTGACATTGCAACCCTGTATTTTTAGAATGCAGGCATCTGGTTTTTCAGGGGTTTGTTTGTATATCTAGAATTCTCTCACCCTACCCGGAATAGATGCCCAGCGTTCCAGTTGAGTCCACTTCCCTGAACCCTCTCACTGAGCACAATCTCCCCTCATTGTCTGAACTTTGAGCAGCCACAATTTCAAGTCTCCCACCAGCCCATTAGTACCCACCTGTGGCATCTTATATGGGCCATAAAAACAACGGGGTCATAGGTTTTCAGAGGTCTCCCCTTCTCCCCTTTGTCCTAGTGCTGTGACTGTATAATAGCATGACTTGAAGACCAATGAAGCTCAGGGAAACACAACCTGGGGCTACAGCAGGCTTTGCTTCAGGCCCTACCCAGCCCATGTTATATCTATTTTAACCCAAGGAAACTGACTGGTTAGCATGGTCCAAACATGAATTTCCTGAAAGCTTTCCTCAGGGCCTCCTGGACCTCTTTGTTTCTCAGGCTGTAGATGAGGGGATTGACCAGGGGAGTCAGGACTGTGTAGATGAGAGAAAGAACTTTCTTTAAGTCACTCAGGATGTTGGTGGTTGGAAACATATAGACAATCAGCAGAATTCCATGAAAATGCTCACCACGATGAGGTGGGAAGAGCAAGTGGAAAAGGCCTTTTGCCTCCCGGTGCTAGATGGGATTCTCAGGAGGGTGGAGATGATGCAGATGTAGGACATCAAGGTAAGAAGGAATGGGACCAGTGAGAAAAGCAAGCTGAGTGCAACAGTGACCATTTCCATCTGCTGAGGATCATTGCAGGAGAGATTTACAAGGGGGATGAGATCACAAAAGAAATGGTCAATACCATTGGGACCACAGAACATTAACTGAGATATGAAAAATGTTGTTATGCTATTACCTAGGAAGCTTAGTGTGAAAGCCAACATTTCCATCAGGTGAGGGTCATTGCAGGATAGTTTTACAAGGGGGATGAGATCACCAAAAAAATGGTCAATAGCATTGGGGCCACAGAACGCTAACTGTGATATCGACAGCGTTGTTATGTTACTAAGTAGGAAGCCACCTATCCAAGAGCCACCTGCAAGCTGCAGGCAAGACCTCTCATTCATATGGGAGGCATAGTGCATTGGATTGCATATGGCTAAATATCGATCGTAAGACATCACTGACAGGAGAAGACATTCTATAGCAACCAGAGAACCAAAGAAATAATATTGTGTGAGGCAGCCACTAAATGAAATAGTCCTGTCCCCAGTCAGGGGACCGACCAACATCCTGGGCAGGATGGAGGAGGTGTAGCAGGTCTCCAAGCAGGACAAGTTCCCCAGGAAGAAGTACATGGGGGTGTGAAGGTGCCGATCAGCCACAACTAGCACAACAATGAGGAGGTTCCCAGCCACGGTTGCGATGTAGATCACTAGGAACAGCAGAAAGAGAGGGATCTGCAGTTCAGGGAGGTCCCCAAATCCCAGGAGGATGAATTCTGTGATGGACGTTTGGTTTCCATGCTCTGGGTTCGCCATGGGGTGTGTCTATGGGAAACGAATGAACTTTGCCACATAAATGAAGAACATTCACTCAATAAAACGTCAGCACTGTTTCATTGTCCCCCTATGCTGGCTACTGGAAGGATGGGTGAGTGGAGAATGGAGACCAGGGAAGGGGAAATGCCATCTTATGATCCCTGCGGCAGATTTCATATCTGAGCAGACTGCAGGTTCAACAAAACATTAATCTCTCTGGAAACTCGTGTAGTAACTTGAGAGATGGCACCAAGCACTCAAATATGAAGGTGATGGGGCTTAGGTACAACAGTACAAGACCGTGTTGCTTCAAATAGTCACACATTTCACTACTTTGTGTATTAAAGCAGAACAGTGTCGTCTGTAGATTGGAGATCCATAGGTGAAACTACTGCCTAATGGTTTCTGCCCATCAGCGGAGCATTTCAACAATGAGATTACCTCTCCTGTGGCCG